ATTATTATTATTATTATTATAGTTTGGTGGGGGTGGGGGGGTTCAGATCAAAAGTACGCATAAGAAATACAAATGCCACACAGCAAGTTCAAATGCCACCCAGCAAAAGCAAATATGCTCCACAAAGATTATTGAACGTGAGAAGCATTTTAATAAGCTCAAACTGAGATGACGACAACCATGAACAGTATCTTTTTAGGGTGAGTCGATCACTATAAAATAAAATCCCGAGGATGCTCCCGCGGAAAGAATAATTTGCCTTCATCAATGAGGCTGGTATCAAGCTGTTGACGAAGAAAAACCAAGGAAGAGCACGGAGAGGTCAATGCTTCGTTCCAGTAGTGCAGGGTCGAAGTGGACCGAATCGCACGATGACATTCAAATTTGCTGTCAGTGCCGAGGGTGGCCTCACGACTTTCAAGTACAGGGAATGGCAGCTTTCATTTCAACCCATCCCTCTAAGAAATTGTTCCAACAATCCCCACAACAAAGTATGCTTGGTTTGTAACAACGCCCGTGCATTAAGGCAAGCTTTTAATGAGAACTCATCAGTAGATTGGGGGTGACACATCTTTCCCCCTACACATATCTTTTAACATCTACACGAGAACACTTGTGTTATCATAACCGTTCTTTTTGTTTAAACTTGTATATTTTCATTTTCCTTTTTATTTTTATTGTTTATTTTTCATCAAATACACTCGAGGTGAAAATCTAGCCACCTGCATACCTTGTCTTACCACCTGTGAAAACGTTTCTTAATTTCGAAATACGATTTAGTGGCGTGCGTAGCATAGTGGTTAGGCTATCGGACTGGTAATCGTGAGACTCGGGTTCGGGGGTTCGAGCCTCAGTTCGGTCTGGCGTTGTGTCCTTCGGAAAGGCACTTTACACGAATCTACCGTTTGGATCGGTCCTTTCGGAGACAGACGTTGATCTCGGAGGTCTTGCCTCTTAAATAACCTAAAAGCTATTCCATTTCATCGTTGAAACATTATTTTTTGGAAATACAATTTGAAACAGATGTTCGCTGAAGCAAGAGACTAAATGATCACTCAGCAGACTCACCAACAAAGGATGGTAACACTTGCCCAGTTGATGGAAAATAACCCAAGTTGTGACTATAGTGAAAATGGCAGCAGTCTTCAGATCAATGCAAGCCTATATGCCACGGTGTTTTGTAGTGCAACAGTTAGTAAATAAGTCAGCTTGGTTTTACATTTCAAGTTAGTTATATATACACCAGCAGTTAGTTGATTTTTATTATAACTATTCGTTTCTGTTGAAACATGTGGGTCCATTTTCGAGTTTTAAAAATTTAACAGTTAGTTTCGTTTCTCGTGATTTCTTTCCTGGCACCACACGGCTTACATCTTACTTTTCGGGGCCCCCCCCCCCCCAAATCCTTTTACTTCTTACCTTGATACACTTCTTATACTTTTAGCCTCTTTTTTTTCCACTTCAAGCACATTTACATTTGGAATTGAAATATGGCATTTGAATTTGCTATGTGTTACATTTGAGATTTCTATGTTTACATTTGAACTTGTTATTGTTGCATTAGGACTTGTTATGACGTCATTTGTATACATGTATTTGGATCTGTTATGTGTAATTTGATCTTTCCATGCGGCATTAGAATTTGTTATGTGTATATTTGAACTGAAAAGAAAATTATAATAATAATAATTATTATTATTATTATGAGTACCAGTATTAGCACTATTATTAGTATCAGTATACATACCAGTATTAGGATTATTATTATGTATTATTATTAGTATTAGTATTAGTAATAAGTATAAGGATTAGTATTAGTATTAGTCTTCGTATTATTTTATCATTTCTATTTCTATTTCTATCATTATTATTAGTATTAGTATTATTGTTATTATTATTAGTATTATTATTAGTATTATTAGTATTATTATTATTACCATTATTAATATAGTTTTCATTATTATTAAAAGTATTATCATGATCATTATCTTCTTTATTGTCATTTTTATTCCTTACACAGATTTACTGTTGTTGCAAATACCGAATTTCTGCTAATGTTGTTTTCAACAAGAATTTATCTATCTTTCATGATCATATTATGTGGCAATGTCTTTAACAGATTAGAAAACCAGGCTCGAACGTGCGCTGTGAGTGGCTCAACAGCTTTGTGTGGAGAACCATTTGGACAGTTTGTCAACAAGATTTGGCCCCTAGCACGAAGGGGTGTATTCCAGTTGGTAAACTGCAGCCAAAGTACTCGTCAAGCAAGTAAGTCTCCAGCCATCATCACAACAGTTGAAAGGTGGTGAAATGGTATCGGTTTAACTCCCCTATAAGCACTGTTAGTTTTTTCAAGAGGCGGGACCTCCGAATTTAACGTCCATCTCCGAAAGGACCGAACCTCGAGGGAAATTCTGGTAAAGTAAAATGTCTTTCCCAAGGACACAACTTCGGACCGAGCTGAGCCTCGAACCCCGAACCAGGGCTTGAGCTCTGAACCCGCAATCTTATGATTACGAGTCCGGTAGCCTAACTACTAGGCCACTGGAGTCCACTCACAACAGTTGAAAGACTAATAGTAAAACTTGAATCATTCAGTGTTGTTAATTTGGAATAAATACTCTCAAGCGTTTTGTTGTTGTTGTTGTTGTTGTTGTTGTTGTCGTTGTCGTTGTTGTCGTTGTTGTTGTTGTTGTTGTTGTTGTTGTTGTTATTGTTGTTGTAATATTGTTGTTGTTTTTTTAGAGGGGGGGGGGGAGAGAGAAAAAAAGAATCAAACCACAAAAAATGTTCACTGAGATTTCACTCCTTCAGAACGCTCATTTAACAAAGCTTTTAGACGCACTGTCCGGGAGCACTTGAGAAGCATAATTTCGCTATTCTTTCAGATTTTTCAATTCGGTATTCCTTCGTCCTGTATCTTAAAAGGCAAACTGTAACACACATGCTTTAAATGTATTAAATGTGTTTGTTTGTTTTTGTGCTTCCTCTCTCTCTCTCTCTCTCTCTCTCTCTCTCTCTCTCTCTCTCTCTCTCTCTCTCTCTCTCTCTCTCTCTCTCTCTCTGTTGGTGTTACTTTTTCCCAGCACTAAATAACCATAATAATTTGTTTCGATGTGCACGTCTATACTTTAGTAAAAGCAAATTCGACTTTCGGATTTGTGTAGTTTGGTTTAAAATGTACCTCATCGTGGCCTTTGGTCTATTGGATATGTGTTTGATATTTTCCTAAAGAGTTAAATGGAGCTCAACAGTGCTCAAGAGGAAATATGCAATAGTGTGTATTCAAGTGCATGTATATATTTATGTATGTACGTATTTATAATTATGGATTTATGTATGTATGTTTGCCATTGTAAAACAAAGTGCCCTTCTGGGACAAATAAAAGTGTAATTTATCATTTATTTATTATTTATAATACTGATAATTTAATTTGTCTTAATATACACAATAAAATCTAGGATTGCAACCGACATTGGCGGTATTTTATATCCCTGTGATTTGAAACGTGTAATGCCATGAAATGAATTCAAATAACTATAATATAATTTAAGCATTATTCTTTCATTCTACATGCATTTTCTTTTTTTTTCTTTTTGCAATCTTTCTTTTCATTTTTTCCCCTTTTTGAACAGCTTCGTTCACCAAGAGGACTCTTGGACAACTGTTCGGGTTCTGAAGGGAATAAGACTTGTGAAAAAAACAACCCAGTACTACGCGATATGGTGTCGAAATCTTTCAGAAAAATTAATAAAAGAGTACAAAGGATCAACAACAAATAGAATTTTGTTATCATTTTCTCTCTCTCATCTCAACCCCCAACACAAACTCTTTTCATTCAAATACACACCTTTTAATAATAATCATTTTGTCATGGTCGTACTGTGTACATTAATGACACTAACCTACCCACTAAGGTCGTGGATGGCAATGCGTATTAAACGAGAGGAATGCATCAAATTGTTGCTGAATTGCGGGTTCCATTCTCGTCGGCATTTGCCATTTTAAGGCAAACAGGCATGTTCCCTGATAGGCTAGATCAGCTATACATATGTCTATAATTTGAAGAAGTAAGATTTAGTCTACAGCGTCTGTATCCCTGTCATCGTGCAACTGAAACAAATCAAACCAGGAATGAAACAAATATACTGATTACAAACGATCCAGTGAACATTGAGTCACAATTGAGCAAAATCAGTAGAGAATAATATCTCAATCTACTGGCTGAGATGCTTCCTAGACGTTCTGCTCATGTGCAAAAGGTCCATAATACGTTACACTAGGCTTGCATCATCAACATGTTAAGGGCTGGCTTGCACCTGAGGTCTATTTTAGCTTTTACAGGGTCTAGAGTGCCCATATTTGCTGTGGGATATCGTGTCTTATTGAAGATTTGAAATCAATAGTTCAAAAAGTATATTGTGAATCGGTTGCTATGGAAATGGCAGCCATATTTGATTTTGTATACCTTTTTGAATCCCTTTTTACTCCCTTATTTATTAACTGGTTCACTTCAAATTCAGAATGCCAACAATAGATATGTTGTTTTTAAATTTTTCTAGCTGAATTTTTTATATATGCTTTAGTTTTCATTGTATGACACTTGCAATTGGGTTGTGAAAAAAAAAGCAAAATTCATGCTTTCTAAGCAGTTATAAATCCAAAACTACTTCGTTAATCAAACATTCAACAAGCTAAAATTTAGAGCTAGGTGTTTGTGGCATCCTGTGAAAGTTGCATCGAAATTGAAACTGAAACAGAGAAGAAAAATGGGATAATTTATGAAAAAATAGAATTGTGAGTAAACAGCCGATAAAGGTAAGAAAAGGCTGGAAAACATGTGTTGTCGCAGCAAAACCTGAACGGAAAACACAGCTGTAGAGTGTAGCAAAGCTTACATACGTGTCTGGATATTGTTCGGGAAATTTCCTGGTACTATAATATGTAATAACCCCAATTTGCATAATTGGACCTCAAAACAAAATTTCTAGGTGCCCCACCAGCCTTTAAGAAGCGTGTTCAATTCTTGGGGTTTTATAGAGACCATAGGCCACGTTGCGATGTAGGCCTAACCCTTCAGACAGCTGGGCTGTCGTCTCTTACAGTCTCCATAGGGATGTGACAGCGCCATCAACAAAAGAGAAAGGAACACATACACACAATCATACTCACACACAAACACACACACACATACACACACACATACACACATACACACACACAGATACACACATACACACCCACAGAGAGAGAGAGAGAAAGAAAGAGAGAGAGAGAGAGAGAGAGAGAGAGAGAGAGAGAGAGAGAGAGAGAGAGAGAGAGAGAGAGAGAGAAAGCACAAAAACAAACAAACACATTTAATACATTTAAAATGTCAAGATTTAATCGAGTAGTCCTTTCAGCATATTATTCTCATCCACAAACCTTGGATTATGGATAATGATGAAGGACGTCGATGCACATGATGCTTTTTGAATTGCTCTAAATCAAAGTAGTAAATCAAAATGGCTTTTGAATGAATAGATTTTACTAACTTTTCTTCTTCTCTATCACCCACACATTCTCTATAGCTCTTCCAAGTTGATCTTTCGAAGAATAAAATATTAAATCTAATTTCAAAATGAAAAAAAGAACTCAATTTGACAAACAGCATAAGATAAAGGAGCGTGATCTTAAAACACGAGACGAGTATCTTTTCACTAAAGCGTATCTAATTAAATCGAAGTATCGAACGCTTTTCAAGTGATCTTTGTAATAATTATATTTAGAATCTGCTAGAAGAAGTAGCAGAAATAACCACAGAGATATATGAGTGACGTGATCCTTTTCACGAAAGCTCTCTATTTCTCTCACACATGTTCTGTATCTAGCTTGCATATTCTGAGCTTCAGAAGACTGAGAACATGTGATTTCTATAACTGGGCAATGCAAGAATCCAAGGCGACTAAAGAAGAAAATGAGGAAACGTATTATGAAACACGACAATATCATTAATGGCATGCTTTTAAAAATAATTATGTTGAAGCATTGAACACTTTCCAAGTTATGGCCATAATTCTTCTGAATATTATGTACAAAGGATTAGGAAACGAAAACCACACCAATCAATGTTAAACCAAACTTGAAAATTGTCTGAAGTAGGGCATGATCCTCCTGAACAGAGCCAACAACCGAGAGTGAGTCGCAGAGCTTTGCAATTCTGTGGTATCTATGTCCAGTCAGGCACAGACCCGCGAGATCATTCTTCTAGACAAGTACAATACCAGGACTCGCCATTCCTTTGACCATCTTCACCTCGCTTGCATCAATGCCATCTCCACCTTTCCTCTTCCGTCTGTTCAAATCAAGACATTGGTAAGGACCATGGTAGCTTGCTTTTGTGTGGCGGGAGTTTGGGTCAGTGGGCACAGTTGCAACATGTCGAACATTCATCACAATCATCAAGTGCCAGGTCTGCGGCAGACATCGGCGATCATGGCTCTCCATTCATTCTTTTGCTCGCATGCTCTTCAAAAAGCTACGTTACCTTGATCTTTCACCGTTACCGGTTTGTTTAGTTTCTCTAAGTTGGTTGCTCTAATCCTACCCCTATATCGTTTGCCTTCAGTTTTGCCAGTGAGAGCTAGATATTCAAGACCTTTATGTCTATTCAGGTGTTCCAAAAAACGGCATTTGTCGTTTCCTGATTGTTTTTATCTGTGAGCGTCCAACGTGAGCTTCATCAAGTACTACCTCATTTGATTTCTTTTCCTTACACGATATTCCCAGCAGTCTCCTGTTTTTAAATATCAACACAACATAGATCTATAGAGATTTATAAATCCACTTACGCTTGCAGCATAACAGAGTGTTATTTTTTGGACGCTACTCTCTTCTGGTGCAAAATATAACTCTAAACCCTGCATCCATGCTGTAATGAGTGAGTGTTTTGCCTACTTTTGTATCATGTGTGTGTGTGTGTGTGTGTGTGTGTGTATGTGTGTGTGTATGTATGTGTGTGTGTGTGTGTATGAAGTGTATGTGTGTGTGTGTGTGCATGTGTGTGTGTGTGTGTGTGTGTGTGTGTGTGTGTGTGTGTGTGTGTGTGTGCGTGTGTTTGTTTGGGTTTTTCCATATTTTTTCCGTTGTGCACAAAAGAGTTCAGTTCCTGAACGAAAAATTATTTTTTCTGCTTGTACACCAGTCTGTTTTTTTGGGATACGCTGTCCAACTAAGTCTGAGTTGGCCCTGACAGCTAGGTTAATGATCCTGCTTCTTTTACACAATTCACAAGTATGTGAATAGAGGCCAGTAACGTTCACAATAAGATCAATGGATTCAATTATAAGATAAAATGTCTTCTGCGCTGGGCTCTTTTGTAATGTAGATGTTTTTACATCAGCGCACCATTGACACAATTGAAGTCATTTTTGAGGCAGAGTGGTGGAATCAGGCTCTCCTCAAAATAATCAAAATGAAGAAACATGCATAATGCATAGTTCGACAGGTTTGTGAATGTTTATCCAATTTATGTTTTTTGGCTCAACACCTTGCATGCCCAATAAAGAACTCATTTCAGTGCGGATTTTTTCTGAAAAACGTTGATAAAAGGCACAAAAAATGTAAATTTTCAGTTACCAAGGACTTTTAAGCTACAGAAATAACTAAACTTTGGCAGCCACTTATAGGTGAACCCCCCCCCCCCCCAACCTCCTTCATTCACAAATATCTTGACTTGTATTCAAGATAAATGGATATTTTTTTCATACAAATACAGACAATTGAACAAGCTTTCAGATGATACCAATAACTCGACATGCCCAAAAATTGACGAGAGCCTGATTCCACCACGCTGCCTCACATTTAGGAGGCAGGCTTCGACGCTGTCAGACCTGTCAAGACTAACTCGGGCAATTGGGGGAAACAACGTCCCAACAGAAAGACCGAGACATTGAGGAAAACCCCCCAAATCTTTCCACATTGAATTCCCGCTCAGGTTTTTCTGTTTGCGACCTCAAGTGCCAACCCCCACGACAGAGACAATGTTTAGTGTGGCTTCAATTAAGTAAACAGTTTTGTTCTCTCCTCTAAAGCTTGCCTAACTCCAAACGGCCGTGGTTTATTGCAGATATCTTTTGAATGTGAGCACCAATTTTGATCAAACTTTTAGTTTTAGTTTAGTTTAAGTAGAGGTTTACGGCGCTCGCAACTGCATGAGGTCAAACTTTACAAATAGTCCTGTGTAAAGTTACCTGGCGGTCTGATGAGTCGAGTCTGAAAGAGGGCCCCCGTCCAAGATTAGTGTTGCCTCGTCGTGGTCCTGAGTCCGACTGAATATCTCAGTGAGTCTCTCAGACGATATCTGCCTTTTTCTCTTGACGTCATCCAAGGGCGTGCCGCTCCCTTAATTATCTTGTCCCCATAGTAAAGATAAGAGTTATGTCCCTTGACATCACAGTCCTGAATTAATTTGTTTTACTTAACTACTTGTATAAGCAATTAATGGATTTGGCCCTAGTATTAGTAAGCAAAGTTTTACTCGTTGTGTTTGTTAACCAAATAGTTCATTGAGTCGTGAATGTGATGACTTACAGTGGGACAAGCACCATGTCGTCATACTTTATATTCTAAAGATACAAAATAATTTTCTTCTTGTTTCTTCTCTTTCTGAATGGCTCCTTGCATGAACACAATTGTTCGGGTTTAGGCAAACTCTAAGTATCATTTATTGTTCAAAGAGGAGTTTTTCTGTTTGAACGAAAATCGTAAAATGAAAACTATAACGAATTACGTTCCGAAACTTTTAAGCAAATATTTATGTTTCTTTTCAACCTTTGATGAACGCTTAAAAAACCACCCGTCCAGAGAATAAGTGCCTTTTTACTTTTTATATACGCCTATTGCTACTGCTTACCAAAACCAATTCTCATTTGTTCAATTTCTTAACGTTCAAAGTAAGTGGGATCGAAAGTTATTCACAAAAACTTCGATGTTTTTAATTAGACGAGCTATAGTATGGACAATGATAATGATAATAATAATAATAA